CGACTCGCGACTTCACCGTGACTATCGTCAGCGTTCGCAGATGAACCGAGTAGAACTGCGAGCAGGAAAAACTTATTAGGGTTCGATCGAAAAGCGATGCTCAGCCCTATTCGACTTCGGACCGCTCTCTATAATTCTGGAAGACTCTTCGACGTCCGAGTGTATCGCGGGCCCCTGGAAGTTCCAATTCAGTTACTCAGCGTACTGCTCCGAAGATAGCGCACATGCTCGATGAAATATTCGTCATCCAGATTTCCGAAACTTATCGAGATCGCTTCGATTCCGCTTAAGTCCTTGATTCTCACCCTGTAGAGGTACACTGGAGCCGACAAGAGCTCCTCTTGAGTATGGAGTTCCCGGCTACTCCGGCTAGCCCGCCAATATTCGAAAAAATCGTGCCATGAGAGTTGGATGTATGTCCACTTGCGAGAAAATTTCGAAGTTCGGGAGCGCAACGAATTCGCAGGGGTCTAACAGTTGGAATGGGAAGGGTGGGATAGAAAAAGATTTCCAACCTTCCGGAGCACAGACTCTTACGGACCGTGACTCTCTGGGAGTGTCTACAACGCAGAAAATTTAGGGAGACTTCATTTTTTCATGTGTCCAGTACTTTATACCTGAGAAGTTCGACTGCCTCGCAAACAGTCATAAATCATGATTTTCTGCCTAGTCGAGCTCACCAGTGAGGCTCCAACTCCATAGATGAACATTTCTGCAAGTTTCTTCACGGGAAGTCGGCAATCAACACCATTCGCATCGAGAGTTGTTCTCAAGGCCTATCCAGTTGTCCCCTCCGACACCATGGATCAAAACCTTTAAGGAAGACTTTCGCTTCCCGAATCCGAGACCTCGATTAGCGAGCTTGGCCACCGAAACAATGGATTCCGGACTTGAGTTCAGTCCGTCTAATTTCGGGTTTCCTCGCACCATTTGTCGTCCCTGCGATCGACTTCTCCCTGCACAGACTCGAGTCGCCTCATCGAGAGTGCTCAGCTGGCTTCACAGCCCATCTATCGGAAGCGGTAGTGAAGATCAGACATCATGTGGAATCACTGCTCGAAATGATCAGAATTTTCGAGGACCGATATAGGCACGGACGTTGAAAACATACCTCGCAGACATGACTTGAGTATAAGAGCAAGCCCTAGGGCTTCGATCGATCATTCGAGGATCGTGACGAGCTCCTTTCATTTGTTCTCGTAGGAGAGTTCGGTGGATCAACGGGACTGATGCCTGAGCACGGCCTAATCATGATTGATGATGAGGCGGGAAGACACGCGTTGTAGAAGACTGCCGAAATGAGGATACGTTCCGTAATCAGGTCTCAGTGACGAACAGGGCGGTACGACAGGATATCTGGGGAATACATCGGGGTCTAGGAATCATCTGCCCGCGACGGCTCCTGGGCAGTTTCCATAACACAATGGCTCGGGGACCGATTTATTCCTTCTTCCGAGAACAATCTGTGCGACCTAAATCTTCGCTTGAAGCTTTTGCAGGAGGGTGGAGAATTCTAGTGTCGCATCGACCAACGATCGCAGGAAATTCGCAGAAGTTGGGTCTCATAATTGATGAGAACTTTGGGGATGAGAGGAAGAGGCATCTGTTTTTTTCAACGATTCAGCTCATTTTATTCGTTCGGTTGCTCATTGTGAATTAGTAAATACTCCTGCGATCTGAACATCTTCTATGACGGGCTGTTTCACCACCACGGGGGCCACTGGCGGCAGGACTACAACGAGAGGAGCAATGGGCGCT